TCAATCATCAACAAAATCAAACAAAAATTTCTTCAACCTCATATTCCAACTAAACAACCTCATATTGTGTTTAAAGAAATTCAGCCCAAGTTTCAAAACCTTTTGATTATAACCCTTAAGAATCTACTAAAGTTTAGAAATTTCTACCTCAAAAATAAACTTCGCCCACCAAAATTAAAATTCAAGCATATAAATTATTAAAAAGGTAAACAAAAAAAATATATTACATAAACAAAACAAGAGAGTAGAAATTCTGCGTCCGGCTATTACCTGAAGGGTTTCACCCTTCCAGGCGAAAACGGCAGCGGAGTCGCGGGCAATGGCGGCAGCGGCGTGGTCTTGAGTGGAGAAGATGTTGCACGAGCACCACCGGACGGAGGCGCCAAGGGCGGTGAGAGTTTCAATGAGGACGGCGGTCTGGATAGTCATGTGGAGAGAACCAGTGATTCTGGCTCCCTTGAGGGGTTGCGAAGGCCCGAACTCGGCCCGACATGCCATGAGTCCCGGCATTTCTACCTCAGCCAGCTCAATTTCGAGCCGCCCGAAGTCGGCCTGTGACAGGTCTTTGACCTTGTACTCGCGCCCGGATGAGGTTTTCTCGACTGAGAGGGCCATGGTTTGGATCGGGCGAGGGTTCTGGGTTTAGGACTGACAAGAAGAGGAGAGATAGAGAGAGAGAGAGAGAGCGAGAGACCGGGAGATACTATTGCCGGACATTATAAGATATTCGGACCTTGAAAACGACAGCATTTCTTAAGGGTACTGTGTGTCATCTTAGGTGTATTGTCTTAATTATTTGTTTGGATAGTGATCAAGGGAGGACAGTCTCTATTTTAAATGGGATAATTTCTTTTTTTTTTTTTAAAAAAAGGGATAATTTCGGATGTCCACTTGATAGCAATTGTAATAGGCCTGATATAAGCATTGGAATCCATGATAGACAGAAGGCTAGTGCAACTCTTAGAAATCTCTAGAAAGGTTTTTAAAGTTATCCCATTTTAATTAGCAAGACACAATCCTGGATTAGAACCTTTTACGATTCGCACAATATACGTCAATACGATAATTATATACTAAATTCACACTTTTAATAATAATTGTACAAGTTATCAATGCACATAGTACGAGTCATTAATGAATTAGAAGTGTGTATTTAGCTCATCCTCGATTTTATAGATATCAAACTAACAATTACAGATACTAAAGACAATAATATGTAAAAACACAAAAAAAAAAATGACATTTAATAAAAATTGTATCCTATAATTAAATCTGTGATGGTACGAGTCCCCAATCCCTCAATTTTGGTCATGGGCCTGTGTTTCGTATTGAACACAAGATTTGAATAGTAGGATTAGTTGGATAATCTATAAAGAATATCGGATCAAATATGAATGATATAGATTAATTTTGATTTTTTTTGGTAAGCATATTTATATTGATTCAATAAACAGTAGATGAGAGTTGGTTGTTTTGTGTATAGATTTTTATCTTTGAGATCTATACCATTTATCAATCAATGATTGTGAGAAATAATGTATCTATTACTATTCAAAATTGTACTCTTAAATAATGTATTAATTTTATATACATTAACCATGGATACACTAGCACCATTAAATTCATGCTATTCAATTTTAATTTAAATTTGAACTTCATTTTAATACATATATGCAGACATTCAATGACGCTAGTGTATACAAGTTAACTCCTAAGAAAAATGTGGAATTATTACAAATTTTGTGCTAAATTTCAAGTCCATTTAGTCCCTACCATTAAGCTTACTCTACAACCAAAATTGTGATGGCTAAGAACCCATTCCCGATCATTTGACTTTATATATCCATCGAGCACCAATTGCAAAGACGACAAACAATTTAAGATTGACTCCCATGAGTTTTGATTCGATCTCAACTGCTAATCCTGTAATCATGCATTATTGATCAATTAGAGTCTATAGATCATTTGGTATCAATCTCAAATGGCGATGAGCGGTTGAGATGGACTCTAGTGAGTTTCAAGCCAAACTCCATTTCCAATATATATATATTTTTTAAAATATAGAATGTTCTTAGCAAGTGAGTTTGTGTCATGTTTTAGAAAGACAAGTTTTTCTTTCAAACCATCTAAGATAACATGTATTAAAAAGGAAAAAAAAATACCAACGTCCTTCCACCATTATCAGCTCCACCACTTAGCCCAAAAACCAATTATTGCATCTTTCCCCCTCCTCAAAAAAAACCCTCCCAAAACTATCCACCACCTCTTTTTCCTCCTCTTTCCTTTTCCTCTCTCTCTCTTTTCCCCTTGCTTATCCGATCTCCCTACCTCGTCATCATCCCTCATAGTCATCCCCCCTTCTTCTCTTCCTTCTTTCTCTTCCTTTCCCTCTATCCCTACCACTACACCTCTTGATTTGGATAGATTTATTACAGGACTAGAGAAAAGGAAGAAGAAGTAGGGAAGGGGGGAGTGAAGGGTATGAGAAGAGAGAAGAGAAGTTGAGGGTTGGGGGGAAGAGAGAGAGCGGCGATAATGGATAAGCGAGAGATAGGTAGTGGGGAAGTGAGAAAAGATGAAGATGAATCTAGTGATGGGTGGAAGGGGAAGAAAATAGATGTAAAGGAAATAGGTGGTGGAAGAAGAAGGATAAAAGGGAAAAAAATTGTAAGGGTGGTGGTCAATGATTGAGAAAGCATAGTAGAGAGGATGGAGAAGATGGCTTGTGATGGGTAGTGGGAAAAATGGATGTTTTGAATATTTAGACAAATATCAATTTTTTCTAAAACTTTTAAAATGTCTACCATGAGTTACAATAAAAGGTTTTTATGTTTTTCTTGATTTCTTCAAGTTGTATGATTTTTAAGTTAGTTTGGCGTGAATAACAAAGGCTAGAGCACTTGCCAAAATTTTGCCACCACCCAATGATACTGTTTGAAACTATAGATGGATTTGGGGAATAAAGAAGAACATAAGAAAAACAATGAATATTTTAGAAACCATACAAAATGATGGCGGGTTTGGAAAGTTTGTTTTTTTTTCCACAAACTATTTGTCTCAAATACACCGAACAAAAAAATTAAAAAATAAAATAATTCCTACCATCACCATAGAATACCATCCACCACCGCCATCACCCTCTGTCTCCTCATTCTCTCTCCTCTATCTCCCTCTTTCTCCCCCTTATTCCTCCTTGCTCCTTGCTCTTCCTCCCTTCCCTTCCTTCCACCTCCTCCTCACTCTTCCTCTCCCTTGCATCTTTCTTGCTACTAAAGCTCCTCCCCTTCCCTTACCTTTTCTGATTGCGACCAAAGCCCTTTTAGTCGCAACCAAATTTGACCTCTCTTTGGTTGAGACCATTGCGACTAGAAGGATGACGGAGGAGAAGGGGATCTAGTCGGGAAAGGGAAGGGATGGAACGGGAGAAGAGGAGGAAAAAAAGGAAAGGAAGGGGAGGAAGAAAGAGAGAAAGGATAAGAGAGAGGGAAGAGAAAGGAGGTGGCCATGGTGGTAGGTGTTGGTAGATGGTGATGAATAGTGTTATTTTTAAATTTTAAAAAATATTTCAATAAAATTTTAAATTTTAAAAATACTCCAACAAAGAATTACAATAAAAAAAAATTTCATGATGTTATAGTGTAATATTTTAAAAACACTTTTAAAAGCACCTAATTCATACGAAGCCAATATTATTCTAGTGAAAGTTGAAGGGAAGGCATGAGTTAATTGAAGGGGTGTATTCTTTACATACTCAAATTTTGAGAAGTCTAACTATACTTTGATTAAATGTCAAGATTTAGTTTGTTATTTGGTTACTCCTTAGAATTTGATATGTTATTTGGTTAAATCTTAGGAAAGATAAATATAATTAACCCTACTTTTTTCAAAGAAATAAAATCAAATTGGATAAGTGCCTAATGTAAGGGCTTGAAGGCGTAAGAGATATATAATTCTATGGATGTACTATATGATATCTTGAGTGTACCACCTAGCACTCAGTGACACTTATACTAACACAAGTTAATTTAATTGATAAAGACGAGTATTCTCTACAAGTGGCATATGATCTCCCAGGCATTCCCTAACCCATAGTAGTGATCGAAATTGAATGGTTGTTATCAGTTAATGACAATATATTCTTTATTTTTTTCTCTTTTCCTTTAATCAAAATGAAATTTTAGTTCAACTTTTTTTTGATCAAATTTCAATTTTCAAAAATATATAGGTGCAGTCTCTAAAATCTAAACACAATTTCAATTTGCTTACTTTTATTACAACTCATTAAAAAAATCATTTATATTAACGGTCCACACACACGCATCTTTCTATGTATGAGTGTGAGGGGGAGTTTGGTATTAAAATTTTGTGTCATTTTTTAAAAAAAAATTTACCCCTATAAAAAGTAAAAATTTACTAAAGATAACTATTAATAACTTCCAATAACTTCTAATTTGGCAACTTCTAATAACTCCCACACCCAATAACTTCTATTTGTTTCTTTATTTGTTTGTCAAAAAAAGTCATTGTCATTACTTTTTTTTTTTTTTACTTCTATTGATTTTAATATAAACAACTAAATTTAAATTTGTTTGACTTTTTCTTAATTTGCACACCTATGGGGGTGCTTTTTCGAGAGCAGATCCTCTGTCCAATATTTTGTGTCCAATTTGCTGTCCAAAGTTTCACTTATTATATCTGTTGATGTGGCAACTAAAAATAGGTGGCTGTTTGGCTGCCTTATACTTCTTTTTCTTTCTTCTTTTTGGATTTCCTTTGTTTACACAACTTTGTTACAATTCCCATCTTTTTTAAAACAAAGTATTAAGGATTTCAAATGTTTTAAAAAAGATGGGAATTGTAACAAAGTTGTGTAAACAAAGGAAATCCGAAAAAGAAAAATAAAAAGAAGTATAAGGCAGTCAAACAGCCACCTATTTTTAATTGACACATCAGCAGATATAATAAGTGAAATTACGTAATTTCACGTGGACGTGAAATTGGACACAAAATATTGGACAGAGGATCTGCACTCTGCTTTTCCCACTGTATAGAGAAAAAGTCAGAGTCGCCCGGAATGCGGGATTGGGCATGCGGCGATCGGCATATGCTGGTAGTTGTCTTGTAGCGGAAAGATAACGGAGTCGATCGTCTTTTCTGTTTCCCTCTCCCGCCGTAACCAAACTGCATATTCCTCGCTCACAAAGCGTAGTCAATCGGCTTCAGCTGCCGGGACGGCGGCGGAGCAAGTTAGTCTAGCCATGGACGTGATGATTCATTCTTCCAACTTTCTCCTCCCAAATCCCGCCGCCGCTGCCGCCGCCGACAATATCAACGGCTTAACTTCACGACCAAGAAAGTACGCTCTCATCATCCTTAACCAGCGTCTCCCTCGAATGACTCCCCTCTTGTGGAGCCACGGTAATTAAGTACTACTACTATTACTGTAACCTGATTACGACGCCGTTTTGGTTTCTTCTACTCCTCCATGCTTATAACGATTCTTTGCTTTGTGCAGCTCAACTTCGTGTATGTGCGGACGGTGGCGCCAATCGACTGTTCGATGAATTGCCTAAGTTCTTTCCGCAAGATGACGCCGTTGCTGTCCGTAAGAAGTATGCAGCTCCCAACTTTTAAAATTTGCAGTTCTTATGGGATGTTAATGTTTAAAAACCTTCATTTCTCCCTTTGTTTCAAATTTCTTGCGTTTTTGACTCTGTGTGTGTGCGCGCGCACGCGCGTATATATATATATATATATATATATATATATATATATATATATAGTGTTCAATGCTTGATCAGGCTGAAAATTTCTATATGGATTTTTTGGATGAGTAATTTTACGTTTGATGGCTGAATTAAGGTTGCTGTATTGAATTCAAATGCTTGGATTTTTTTTTTTTTTTAAGGTACAAGCCAGATGTAATAAAGGGAGACATGGATTCTGTCAGGACTGAGGTTGTAGATTTTTATTCAAACCTGGTAAGCTGCTAATTCTCTGCAAAATCATGTTTTTATAAGTAAAAATGTGCAATAGATATAAAATTCAAAATTGACTAGTTAATGTGGGTTATTTAGTCAAGCATTGCCTTTTTATTGCAAATTGTAAAATTATTCATAGTACCACAGACCCACACGTATACTTCTTTTCTTCTTTGCCAAATTCCGTCTAACTGGCACAGCACTAGCAGTGGCCAAATTCTTACAGCTTTTATCTTAATTGCATACTTGCCATTGGATTAGAATTAACCTGATCGTGCGATATACCTTGAGGTATTTTCCATATTTCATTTGCTCACAAAATCCAATTTTAAAAACCATATGGTCTGTGGTTTTGCAAATTGCTTCGAAGCCAGAAGAGGTAAATGGAACTGGCCTAATCAGGCATGATTTGGTTCTCACTCTTTCTTTATTAGCAGAATTATCAAAAGGAAAGTTAATTCTGGTAAAAGAAACTGCAGCGATGTTCAGGTAAGCGTAGAAATGAACCGGAAATGTCAGTTTGCATTTAATCAAAGATTGTTCAAGGTGTTTGTTCATATGTGGGTTTTAGTAGTTTATCTTACATGCATTTTACATGCCTGAGTGTTTCAAGAATCATATTTTCAATGTTTGGATTGCTAATCAAATGCAGGGTACTGCCATAATAGATGCCTCTTATGATCAGGACACCACGGATTTGCATAAATGTGTGATCTACATCCATGGCTTATCAGATCCACAAAAGTCAAATGTGAGTCTAGTTTTCTGTTGGAATTTTCTGATTTGTGTACGAAAGTTTTGTTAACTCGAACTCCTCTACTGATGTTTTGGTTGTCTATATCATCATTTGCATGAAATTTGCACTAATCTTCTCTGCAATTTTTTTCTTTATATTCTTGTTGTTGGGGCACTTGGTGGGAGGTTTGACCATGAGATTGGAAACATCAACGTACTATATCACTTCTCAAGCATGCGTATAATTCTTCTGAATGATGATTGCCTCATCCAACTTCTTCCTGGGACTCATCATCATGAGATCCACATTAATCCCTCTATTGAGGGCCCACATTGTGGACTTGCTCCCTTTGGTATGCCATCTCAAAGTACGACGACAACTGGCCTGCAGTGGGATCTGCGTGAGTATTTCGAGATCATTTGCATACTATTGATTTTATTTCTTAACATCTGAGCGTGGTTGTTTTAATCTTTTGATGCTTCTGCTGGTACTTGTCAATTGTCACAACCACATATTGTCACTGTACAGAAGCAATTAATTTGGGCATAAATCTCCTGAATAGGGGAAGGTTGTGTTATTCCTTTTGATTTATTGGCTATGGCTATCTATGTTGTGTTGTTCTAATTGCCGGTTTCTAGTCTGTAACGTATTCATTGTAGCTATAATTTACAGTGAGTATAAAAGCTTATGTTTGATGAACATTTTCCTTTTAGGCAACACGGAGATGAAATTTGGTGGCTTAATCAGCACGTCAAATACTGCTAAAGGAGAGATTGTAACTGTGTGTTCTGACAGCGACCTGATTTGGACCATATCCATAAAAAAGGCTTGAAAATTCTAGACTGCTAGATGATGTCTGATCTCCATGTATCAGGAATTTTTCTGAGCAACTAGGTGAAAAATCACATTGATTTATGTTGTACAGAAACTGCTATTCTTGTTCTTGATTTTTATTAATTCTTGTACTTATTTTCTTCTTTTCTTCATGTCATTGGACAACCAGTACATGAACCTGTTTTCTATTTTTGCAGAAGAAACTTGTATATCAAGTACAGAAGATATTCTACCTCAAGTGCATTTACCCAGTTCTCAGTTGTACTTCGTACTTAGATATTGGATGTAGTTGTGACACTTAATGTTATTGTTTGAGACAATTTAAGTATGTTATATTGTGGTAGACCAAACTTTTGACTTGCTCTGAGCAAGTACATTTTACATCTGACTTGTTATATCACAGTGTGGTAAATTATAGAAGTATGGATTTGTAAATAATTTAGAGCCATTAGTTGGTTGGAGAACTTCTACTGTAACATATAGGGAAATTATTGGAATTGGAAAAGATAATATTAAAGGGAATGCTTAAGTGCAAAGTGGTAAATTTGAAAAGGTCATTAATAAAGACCTGATGTGAAACTTTTAGCTGACAAAATGAAATTTTAAGTGTTGCAAACTTTGGATTTGGTAGTATCATTTCTATTTCAGCCTCCAGGACAAATTTTATTTGGATGTCCAGACACAGTCCACTAGCATGCATCATTTATAGGTGTGCTTTAGTGCGTCTCCTCTACAAGTGCCTTTATTATGCCAAGGCAAGGTTACCTTATAATGCTCTGAATGTTTAGTCTTTCAGTAGTAAGTTTACTAAATCCTATGAGACAGTGGTCTCTGGTAATCAGATTGTATATGTTATCACATGTTTGGTTAAATAAAGGAGGCGACGAGGCGACGTTATCTATTATCACACGCTTTGGTATTACTGAGCTTGATTATTTTGGGATCCTGCATTTTGACCTTGTCAATGCAATACAGGCCTCCCTCTACACTCTTTTTCCTAAAATGCACACAGAGAAAGCAAAGAGGTAAAAGTAAAAGAATAACATGTATTGTGACCTTGATCATCATGGATCATCTTAGTGTTTGAGCAATATTTGCTGTGTTACCTACTATCATTTTCCTGTCCTTTTGAGGCATTTACAGCTGTACAATAACTTTTCATATTCATTTACTTGTAGCTTTAATAACTAGGATGTTATCTTCACTCTTTTCTTTGACGCCAGGTTTTCCTGCACAACCCTTTTCTCAAGCAAAAAGTTGTTTATTTTTATATGCATCTTTCTGCTGATGGAAGAACAAAGTAGCAAATGCAGGATAAGAATTGCCAGAAGGTCCATTTTGAACCTATAAAAGAGGCCACGAGTATTTCTGAAGCAGTGGGAGACTAATATAGAGGTTTTTCATAGACATATCCCTCTCAAGTCAGCCTACATTCAGCTCCAAACTGTTTGTTCTTTCTATGACCCTGATAGAACTCAAAGATGCTTGTCATTTAGAGCTGAAGAATCTCTTAGTACTGAAGCTTTTTTACAGGGAACATGGTTAAAATCCAGTTTGTCACTTTGCAAGACTTGCATTGCCAAGTCTACTGATTAAGCACTCTGCGATAAATCAATTGCAGCAGCAGATCCCAGACGCAAATTAGAAGCAAGTTGAACTGGAAAAGCGTCTCACGCTAAGAGCCTTGTTGGCCAAATGATAGATGCTTCATGATCTGTCTACACCTCAATTAAGTTTGACCAAAAATGCTGGGTGGGATCTTGAGAGAGCCTAATGTTGTTCATGCACAAAGAGTGCAGAAAATTTGCATTTTGAAGCCCATATTTGCAAAGACCAAATTGCTAGTCAGTTCTAGAAAACTTTTCTCTGATACCTGACGGTACCAAAGTGGACAACAAGAGTCCTTTTTCCACAAACATCTCTTCTTACAGGAAATGAATCCGCTAGGCTCTGTTAGCAGAAATCCAGGTTCCATGTTGGGAATAGTTAATCAAAGCAAGTATTGGCGCTTGTTCATCAAATATGAAGGCTTCATTTTTTGGAAACTAGATCTGCAAGTGTATGCATGCAGGTACACCTTTCTAACAGGTATCTTGAAACTAGCCAAGTCTACTCGGCCTATGCATGGCGTGGTGAATTCTTTTGATCTCACTGTCAAGGTTTTCCGGGTCAAGAAAGGGGAGCAAGTTACTTGCACAAGGAAACCTTACTGAGAATTTTCACTTGCGTGAGAATCATGCTTGTGACTTTTTGTTGGACTCACTCTGATGTGACAGAGTGCCATGTTACATCTGACATTGTGGAGCATTTACCTCTCTAAATTGGAATAAAGACAATGTGTGGTGGTGTACGTATATCTTCTATTTTTAACAATCTGGTATCTGCTTCTGTTCTGTGTCTACCTATCAATATTTGACCTCAAGTTTGAGGTGGAGTTTGCTTTCCTAATATATAGAGTGGAAAATAATACGTAGCTTATGCAGCCATCAAGCTATTTTATGTTTGTCATTCTCAAAAGTTATCAATTCTTAACTCAAGATTAAGTGATTAAAGGGTTAATTTAAAGAAAGTGGGGGGTTTGTTGGCTGCCAAAGATGGTAACAGTAGTACATCTTCGTATTTCCTTGTTTGCAATGTGAAATTACATAAGCTGTTTCCTTGACTTAATAGGAAACTACTATTATAAGTTTTGCTAATTAGACGGGTAACTTTTTCTATCTACACATGCAATACAAATAGCCGATTGCAAGCAACCGACTTGTGAAGACAAAGAAGAATTCGAAACCTTATATAAAGGTAACCATTATCTACCCTCTTTTATGTTAAAATGTGGTTAATGTATGCATCACACTGTTGAATTGAAATCAAAGTTTCTACTACAATGATTTTGTGATTGTGGATTTATTGTAAAATTGATCTATTCAACGGAGTTCAAAAGTTTTTAACTTTTTCTACGTAAATAACTCTTTTGTGTATGAATTATATATTCTTTTCCTCCTTTCCTTTAAAAAAAATTACGGGTTATTCTCGCCGATTCGAAAAAGAATACTGGTTATTCACGTGATAAAATATTAGAAAATAGGATGGAGTCTTTTTTTTTAAAAAAAAAAAAGAGGATCAACAGTGATTTTCCACTTACTTCCCTTGATGACTCGAACCCATGACTTATCGGTTACAGATGAAATGAAACGTCTTACCAACCCCATCCTATTTCTCCAAAACTTCGTCTTACTATCAACCTCTAAATCGTATACAATTTCGTGCAGAAGGATCAATGCATTATTTATGGTTTTGTTGTGGTGTGTATGCACATCGTAGTAACGTGGACTTTTTCAAGAAATTAGGAAGTGTTATAGTCTTTTTGACTGCTCAACTTGTCTTCTTTTCCCATATCAAGATGAATATCATCTCAAGTACGATCGACGCCTCGGCAAATTCCAGGGAGACTCAGATTTGCTGTCGGCAATAGAAACCAACGTTTTGACCAAGACGGAGACAATAATTTCTACGAGAATATCGATGCCAAGTAAAAATAATTTCTTACCAATATTGAAAATTGTTTAACAAAATAATAAACATAGCTATAGTTCTCCAGTTCGATTAATTATAATAGAAAGAAAATACTGAAATAACTGGTGTATGTCTATCTTGAGTTCCCATACAAATTATTGATTATTGATTCATTTGGAAACCATCATCATCATACTTTTGAAGATTGTGTAAATTTTGCTCATGACATGAAGCGTTGCTCATACAATAGCTTCTTTTCAGATCACCGTCCTTTCATTCAGCCATGGGGTGGGTACAAGATATATGGTATGTCTCAAAGCTTTGCATTATCAATCTATTTTATTTTGTTTTATTTATATTATTTTACTTTTAAAGAATGAGAAATCAATATGCAAAGAAACATAGATGCTTCAAATCCAGACGGGTGCGTTGTGGACCTGTCTGGTCCGGTGGTGGTTCTGTCCCCCGTAGGTTCAGTTGAGTCTCCCCGTAGTGAGAGTAGGTGTAGGAGTAGGGATACAATTGATAATTGATAAAAAAAAAAAAAAATCCCATATTCTAAGGAGCTGTTCCAGCTATTGTCTATTCCCCTGCGAAGTTGCTCCACACTATCATGAAGCTTGCACCAGCATCAATCTTAAAAGTGTAATTGTCCAAGAGTTAGAGATTATATTTTTATCATTCTTGATAAAGAAAATTTCAATAACTCAATTGAAAGATTTTATTACCACTGTGGTTTTTTGGTTTATTAATGTGATTCAAGTTCTTCGCAGCGAAGTGATTATTTTTCTTGATTTTGGCTTTTGGATCAAGTGATCTCAACATTTTTTTACTTAATTTAAGGAATTTCTGCAGATATTAAATTCCACAAAATTTTAAAATTACTCATATTAGCGAATTATTATATAAAAAAGTCTATATTCTAGAAGTTGGCCATTGTCTTGGCATTGTTATGTAGCTACTCATTCTTTCAATTAAACATGTGTGAAAAAGAACTTAATAATACATTTTCAGAAAGTAAACAAATTACAATAGAATTTAGAAGATTTACTACAAATTCAAGGCCTTTTTATATTACCTTAAATATGCTGTTTAACAAATTTTGATATCCTTCGAAAGATCGAGGATGCATCACCCTAGGTTTGTACAGCTGCAATATCTTAGTTGTGATTATATCATTGAGTAGCTAGAAATGAACACAATCTCACTTTTTAACAGGTGTCGAGTCTGTGCAATAATAAACACCTACTCAAATAAAATACAAATTTTTGTACATACCAATGAACAAGATCGAATCCACAGGGACTTGAGAAAATTTGTTTCATTTAGAGTCCAGAATAAGGGGGTTTTAATAAAAATGGGAATAATTAAACAACTCAAATAAAAGGCCTAACTAATAATTTATTAAAAATGAAATAATAATAAATAAACTCTAGTCAAGAAATAACTTCGGAAATGATTCACTCAATTGATCATCGATGCAATGATAATTTCATTATTCACTGATAAATAAGTTATAACTTCCAAACAATCGATGACAATCAACTCCTTCTTATTGTATTGGTGGTTAAGGTACGACCGTTAACCATTGTCCTAATCAAGAAATAACCCTAGGTATGACCTTAGAGTTCAATTTCTCAATTGCTTTAAGAATTAAAGAAGCCATGTTCTAATCAAATAACACGCTACAAGGGTTATTTTAAATTATCCCATATATCCCCTTGACACAAATCCAATCATTCCAGTTACCACTAGTTTAAAGCAATTAAACAATTACGGATTTAATTACTCTAATTGATTTTAGGTTTTTAGATTGCATTAAATATCGGGCGCTCTTGATATTCAAACAACATAATAGCCATAAGAAATTAAAGCAGAGGACATACGAATGTCAGTAAATAAAAGAAATAAATATAATTAATTCAATTTCACAATTTTAGATGAACCAAGTCTTTCGTTGTTTCTTGACTAGAATTAAAAGCTTAGTTCATCGTAATGGAAAAAGCCATGCATCAAAATATTTGAATTAATCCCTGCGGCCATTCTCCAATTGCGATCAAGAAGAAAAGAAATCGTTTATTTGTTTCTTGTCAGGGAATACCTCCTAACTATTGACTAGGCTCCTCTCAAACGAAGAGATAAGGAAACGATAAAAATACGCTATTGTTTTTGTTTCCTACTACTACCACTAATTGAATTCAAATTGTTCCTTCAAATCATATCTTATCCCAACAAGACAAATCATCCTATCCATCTGGTGAAACATCGGAGACTCTTGGAACCTCAATTCACGGTTGGAGATTGCGCTTCAACTCCTGAGCTTTTCGGACGCGCAGAGTTTTAATTTTGATGTGCCCACGCTGAATTACACAGAAATTAGTTAAAATTCATGTTCTTAACTCCTTTTCACTCCGAATCCTTACCATCAACACTAATTATCAAATATAAGTAGAATTCATCAATTAATGCAATATTTACTAAAATAAAAGAGGGAAACAATTCATAAAAGTTATAACAAAAATGCAACCTATCACTTTTGAATGATTTTAAGCAAATTAGTTTTAGCTAGGTACTTTCTCCCTGAAATGTTTGACATAAAAACTTAATTAGCCATGCATTTGATTTCTAAAAGAAACTTTTAAATAACAATTAGTTATTTATAATTTATTTAAGAAAGTTTTGTTTGTGAAAACCAATTCAAACAAATTGAAAGAAAATCTATGGCAAAAAGAGCTTAGTCCAAAGAACATTGAGGATCGAGGCCTCATCAATCACCTTGAAATGAGATGAGCCATTTTCAAGGAAACAGTGAAAATCTTCTTGTTATTTTACCCTTTTTTTTTGGCGGGTTTGCAATTGTTGCTTGAATGCCTACATTATTGTTCTATCACCATATTCATGGCTCTTATGTCTCAAACTTCCATCTGATTTCACCACATATCAATTTAATTTAGTGCCAAGAAAATGTTTGGCATAGAATTATAGTGGATTGGTACAAGATGAAAACTTAAAATATAACTAGCTAGCAGATTAAAGATAGAATTAATCTGTGCATAAAATTAAAACATTCCCAAAAAAAATTTAGTTATGAATTTTTCATACATAAAGCCACGGTTACAGCACCAGATATGGAGTTGGCAACAATAATATTAGCTGTAAACTAAAATCTAGCTGATGACCTTGGACCGGAGACTCAGCAACTGATATGGATCTCTTCCTTCAACTATCAAGACTTATCAACACCAAGCAAGCTAGGTTAGCACTAACAAGAGGCAAAGTCATGAAGTTAGATAGTTTTGCTATCTAATTGCGAAGTCAGCAAATTTGATATTCTATGAAGCAAATTCAATGTTCTACTGGTATGCTTTTACCATCCCTGCTATGCTACCGATACATATTCATCAGCAGCAAGGCACAATCCATTCTTTTGGTGTTTACTTTGATGTTGATCTTTTAACTGCCAAGCCTGCAAAAATCATTACATTTTCTCATTAGTTCAACAAAGGCTTTTTGAACCTTAGGAAATGTGATCGATGTATATGCATGGCTTTCATGGTAGCTGTTGATACTTGCAATAGACAAAAAAAAAAACAGGTAATTGAGAAACATATTGCAAGCAGTTTAGAGAACTCACCGAACATGATTTCTGCAGCTGTTATTGAGATTGACTGATCTGCAGCAAGAAACAACTGGATCGCTTGGACAGAAATGTGTCTGAGTTACAGGATGAGGAACTGCTGATGCCAGGTTATTTTCCAAACAGGTCCTCCAGAAAATTGTCTCAGAAGTAGTTGAGGCATTTGCCTTTTGAAACTTCAGTGTTCTAGGAAAGCAGCCAGGTTGT